TTTTTTTTTTTTTTGCCCCTGGGAAAGCTCACCAGCTACTGTTTCACACCGCTGGGGCGGGGTGAGGAAGGAGGAGGTAGGACCGTTTGGTAACACTAATTTGACCACCAAGTGGAGGGTGTGACTGTCAGCTGCGTGGGGTGGGGTGCCAGGCACGTGAAGGGGTGCTGATTAATGATGCCCCAGGGCAGAGTCCTGCTGGCCAGGCAGGTAGCAGCTGCGGTTATGAGATGGGTGGAGGCTGTCCAGAGCTGGGGAGGACTTCAGGGGCAGCTGTGGGGAGAGACTGACCGGGGGCAACCGCGGGAAGAAGATAAGGGCAGGAGCGGGAAGGAGGCTGCGCTGGAGGCTGTGGCTGGGCAAAGAGCAAGCACAGAAGACTGAGCTGAGTGGGTGACTAACACCTGTGACCCCAAGCTTCAGGATCTGAGGCAGAAGGACCACAGTTTGGGGTCAGCCTCATCTATACAGCGAAGCCCTGTTTAGACACACACGCACACAAAGTAACCAAAAGAACTTCCATGTGTAGCATGCTGTAATTTATAAAATCCTTTTAAATTTACTACTTATTTCATATATCATCTGGGCATCAAGATCAAACAAAGGCTTTATGTGTGTTAGGCAGGAGCTCTATCACTGAGCCACCCCAGCCCCTCACTGGGGGATTCTAGGCAGGGGCTCTATCACCGAGCCACACCCCAGCCCCTCACTGGGGGATTCTAGGCAGGGGCTCTATCACCGAGCCACACCCCAGCCCCTCACTGGGGGAGTCTAGGCAGGTGACCACCATGGCACATTCCCAATCCTCATCTGTTATTTTATCTGATATTCATATACAGAGAAACAGAGGCTCAGAGAAGCGAAAGGGCTTGCCCCAGCCTGTACTGCTGCACACAGGGAGCCAAAGCCTGACTCTAGCTAATTTTGGTGGCTGCACGTCATTGGGCTGGGCAGGTGGAGAACAGCTTTATGACACTAAAATCATCGAGAAGCTAGAGATTTCCGCACACAAACGCTGCTCCAGGGATGGAGAAGGGTCCTGACCACCACTCGCTGCTGAACCATGGATTGGCGCTGAGAGGGCGTGGCTAAAGAGACTCTCAGCTACTTTTGTCTCAGATAGAGTTGCATTACATAGCTCAGACTGACCTCAAACTTCCACCAATGCCCCCGCCTCTGCCTCCCAAGATGCTGGACCACAGGTGCGAAGCCCCACACCCAGCTGGGTCTACCGTGTTGATGATCTGCAGCCCCCCTTTCCCCGGAACAGGCTCTCCCATAAATTCCCGAGAAAGGAACTGGGTAGCCCAGGGGGACACCGCCTGGACACTGAGTCCAGGAGGAATGCCACCGTCCACACACCTGCTCAGGAGCCACACTGCCACATGCGGGTTGCCTAGAAAGTCGTCAGCTGACAATGGAGGTCCTAAAGCAACTCTTCAGGGGATGGAGGACACAAGCCTCTTAAAGATAGCAGACAGGAGGACCCCGCGCTCCCTCGGGGGTCATAAGGTAGCGTGAGGACCACACCAGGCTCCACGTAGATCTCAAAGCTGAGGAGTGGGGTTCAACAGCTTTTCAGCCCTGACAAGGAGGCACAGTTGCTGCAGGTCCAGTTCTTACCAGGGCTCCAAGAACACGTCTGAAGCTGGGGATGCAGATCTTGCTTCCATTGCAGAGGGGTCGTGTGTTCCAGAAGCTTCCTGAACTGTGGACTGTGAAGAATAACAGAACATCAGGAGAACATCAGGAACCCTAAAAGAAATACGCCCGGGGGGGGGCTATGTAGCCCTGTTTTCCTTCCCTTCCCCTCCTCTTTCTTCTCTCTCCACTTCTCAGGATTTACCTAGGTAAGTCCTTGACTTTCAGGCACTGGAGGATTTTTGTCTGTCTTATATAGCCCAGGTTGGCCTTGAACTCACTATGTAGCTGAGGCTAACCGCGAACTCCTGATCCTCTTGCCTCCACTTTCCAAGTGTTGGGATTACAGGCAGACACCATCCCACTTAGTGTGGTGCTGTGGACCGAACCCAGAGCTTTGGTGCACCTGGAGAGCATTCTCACTGCACGTGCCCAGCCCTACTTCCTCTTCTAATGAAATTTGTTAGATCCCAAATACAGACCAGACTGGCATCAGACTCAGAGAGCTGCCTGCTGGGAGTGTGTGCCACAATGCTTGGCGTGGTCTTAGTTCTCTCTCAGAGGGTCTTTACACATAGCCTTTCACTGTGATGGTCAGGCTGGTCTTGAACTTGTACCTCTGTTTCTGGAATAATGGGTGAGCCACTGTGCCCCATCCCCACACCTCTTCCCACTCAGTGTGTTTTTCTTTATTAAGGATTTTCTTTATATTATTTTATTTATGCATATGGGTATATGTTTGTGTGAGTATATGTGCATCTATGGAGTCCAGAAGAAGGCATCAGATCCCCTGGCCCCGAAGTGGGTCCTGGGATCCGAACTCAGATATTCTGTGAGAACAGCATGCACTCCTAACTGCTGAGCCATTTCTCTGCCCCTAGGTTTTTATTTTTAACAGCTTTCTGGCTAGAAAATCAATGTTTATTTACTACAAATACCCACTACTAAGCAATAATAACTTAGAGCCTTATGAAAATGTGCCAAGACAGGGCTCCTGCAGCTTTACTAGGACACTTACTGTGTGGAAGCCCCCCGGATTCGCCTGCACTGGAGAATGTATAAAGGAAATGCCCTTCGTGATCCTTAGCTCTCAGAGGTAGTCTAAATTATAATTATTCAAATTTTAATAAGGGCCGAAGCACTAGAAAGCTTTAAAGGCTTTGTAATCTGCCTATACGTAAGGGTGTGGGGGGTACGGGGGGGGGGGTCCAGTCAAGCGGCTGAGTCAGAACGCAGGCCCAAATGCTAGCTCTCGTGTTTACGTGTGCGCAGGTGCACGTGAGGGCCAGAGGTGAACCTTGGGTGTCCTTCTGTCCCTGTCCCTGTTTTTGAGACCTGGTCTCTATAGCCTAGTGATCCCTGACTTGGCAGGGGTGGCTGGCCGTCCAGCTTTTGGGGTCTGCCTGTCTTGCTTCCCCAGCATGGCACTGGGATTACAGGCGTGCCCCGTTCTGCTTGATTTTGTTAGGTGGTCCTGGCTATGCAGACCATATTTCAAACAAACAACAACCCCCGAAAAATCAAGATAGGTGGTGAGATAGCAGATAAATGTGATCCCTGCAAACCTTGACCCCTTGAGCTCAAGCCTCAACACCCACATTTCAAGCCAAAGGAAAGAATCCATCCGGATCCCAACAAGTTTTTTTTTCTGACCTCTACAGGCTTTCCCCACATACTTAAAGAAGAAAAGAAAAGGCAACCCTCAAAACTTGTCATTTATTGGTATTGTGTGTGGGATATGCTCACGTATGTGTGCATCTGCAGAGGACAGAGGAGGCTATCACTCGCAACCGTATTCCCTAGAGACAGAGCCCTTCTCTAAACCTGCAGCTAGGCTAGGCTCGCGGCCCAAAAGCCCAGCGAGCCTCTGGTCTCTGACCTCCCAGCGCTGGAGTCACTGATGGGTGTGTCCCATGCTCAGGATTTTGTTATTGTGTTTCCTGGTCTTTTGTTTGCGTGTTTGTTTGAAAATGGGTGCTGGGTATTCGAACTCAGGTCCTCATGGTTGCACAACAAGCGCTCCTACCCCTTGAGTCATCTCCCCGGCCCAAGCACCGCATCTAAATGCTCCACTCTGGCCCTTCCTATGGGTTCGCTCTGATCATCAGGACTCATGTGCTATTCCAGGCAAAACGAAGGAACCTGAATGGTGAACCCGAGGCGCATCACCGGGGGTCTCAAGACCGGCGAGGTGACGAGCACTACACCCGGCTCAGGGCCCGGTTTCCCGCGCGTCCAACCCGGGTCTGGTCCCGATTTCCCGGCTGAAAATCCTCACCGTGGGAGGACGATCCGAGCCGCAGGCAGCGGCGGAGCCGCGGTGCCGGCTGCAGACCCACAGCTAACGGCTGCTGCTCGCGCCTAACTACATTTCCCAGAGCTCTCAGCGGCAAGCCGGTGACCGCACGGGGCTCGCGACAGGAAATTCACTGGCTCCGCGGTCGTCGGTGGCCCGCATGGTGCTCTTTGGCAGATCTGTCACTAACCCTCATAGCTGCCACCCGTTTGTTCACGCGCTCGCCGCCACCGGACGCCCACGTTTGGTGCGGGAGGAGGCAGAGCAAGACAAGCTACAGCCTGTAAGGGAACCAGAACTACAACTCCCAGAATGCTCAGGCATGGCTGGTACCGCAGAGACCGACCATTCCCAGATTATTTGGGCTCCGAAAGGAGCAGAATCCAGATTAGAGGAACGAGGAAGGACAGAATACAATATTTGGTTTAAGCAATGCTGACGAGTACAGCGCCTCTTTCTTCCCACCGATGCTCAGGGACAGAGCAAAGGGCGAACAGCCCTTTGGGAAGCATAAGCGAAACTGCCTCAGGAGCTATGGGAAATGTAGTCCATTGGGATAAAAATTCTTCCTCTAGATTCTTTTTTTTCTTTTGGTTTTTCGAGACAGGGTTTCTCTGTGGTGTTGGAGTCTGTCCTGGAACTAGCTCTGTAGACCAGGCTGGTCTCGAACTCACAGAGATCCTCCTGCCTCTGCCTCCCAAGTGCTGGGATTAAAGGCGTGCGCCACCACCGCCCGGCTTTCTCTAGATTCTTGACACAGAATTTGCCTCATAAGTACTTAGAGTAATTAGTACTCATAAGTCCCTTCTTAATGTCATCCCTCGGGACTCTGCCTTTCCTAAGTAGAGCATGCACCTGCCTAGCCTGTCTCCAGACATCTTCTCAGGTTTATTGAGCACAACAGTAGCTCAAAGTAACCCGTGGATAATAGAATTAATAGACGCACTTCATAGCGTCTATTATTGGTAAACAATTCAGTAGAAATAAATCTTAAAAATTGCTAATGGCTTATTTGTTCTGAGTTTCTCTTCAATCTAGATGCCCTCTCCAGGCACAAGAAGACTGCAAAGGAGCTGGGCGGTGGTGGCGCACGCCTTTAATCCCAGCACTCGGGAGGCAGAGGCAGGCAGATCTCTGTGAGTTCGAGACCAGTCTGGGTCTAGAAGAGCTAGTTCCAGGACAGGAACCAAAAGCTACGGAGAAACCCTGTCTTGAAAATTAAAAAAAAAAAAAAAAAAAAAAAAAAAAAGGAGGTATGTGAACCCTCCTCCTGCTACACACTGAGAGACAATAATTAAGGAGAGTGGACTCTCAAGAGACAATGCCAACCATCTGACCAGAGGGGCAAGACTAAAGTTTGGATGATTGATGGCCTTTTGCTTCCCCTCCCTTATATAATATGCTAACTAGTCCAAGGGATCAGACGCCCTCTTCTGGCCTGTGTGTGCAGGTGCACGATGCCACTAGTCCGCCTCAGCCAGGCTCACGGGATCTTCATCTTAGTTTGCTAACCTGGCTAGCCAGCAAGCTACTGAGATGCTTCCGGGCTCTGCCCCCTCCCCCCTCCCCCGAGTGCCTCAGTGCCTGGCTTTTGTGTGAGTGCTGGGAACCCAAACTCTGCTCCTCACTTTACCTCTAAGCCGTCTCTCCGTATGTCCATTGATCGTGCGAGCGTGAGACACATCAGTTGGCTAACTGGCTGCCTGCACGTGCTGGGGAAATCTGTCCATCTCTGAGATTGCAGGAATCACCGTCCTACCAGGTTGTTGTACGTGGAGGCTACGGGTCCGAACTCAGGTATCCCTGCTCTCAGAGCAGATGCTGTACTGACTGGGCCATCTCCCCAACTCCCAAAGACATATATACTTTGTTTTTGTTTTTTCAAGATAGGGTTTCTCTGTATAACAGCTCTTACTGTCGTGGAACTCACTCTGTAGACCAGGCTGGCCTTGAACTCATAGAGTTCTGCCTGCCTCTGCCTTCTGAGTTCTGGGATTAAAGGCGTGCGCCACCACAGCCAGTTTTTTTTTTTTAATTTTTATTTTTTAAACTTTATGTGTATTGTTGTGAAGGTATCAAATCCTTTGGCTGGAACTGGAGTTACAGACAGATGTAAGCTGCCATGTGGGTGTGGGGAACTGAATCCCGGTTCTCTGGAAGAGCAGCCGGTGCTCATACCCGCTGAGCCATCTCTTCAGCCCCCTGAAACAGGTTTTTAGGAATAGAAACTTAGCACGAAATTCAGACGAGGAGATGAAGCTTGTTTTGATTCCCACAGGTTTGGGTGTCTAGACTCTCCAAGTAGACCTGAACTGAAGAGTAAGTCTACGCTCAGCCTTAGAAACGGGGCGGGGGGGGGGGGGCTTTCATAGTCCCAAGAAAGAACTGGACAGAGGCTGGGGCTTGGTAGGCAGAGTACTTGTCTAACATGAAGCCCTGGGGGGCTCCATCTGCAGCATCACATCACCTGGGCATGGGAGTGCATGCCTGAATCTTAGTATTTGGGAGGTGGAGGGGGAAGGAGCAGGAATTCAAGTTATCCTTTGCTACATGGGGAGTTTAAGATCAGCTTGGGCTACACAGGACTCAAAAAAAAAAAAAAAAATCCAAAAGCCTGGATTAGAATGAACTGAGAGTGCAGAGTGGATAATGGATGTTTCTCACCTCAGACACCAGGGGCTTTTTCATTCTGTGTGGGAACAGGTGGCCTACACACCGCCATTGCTACAACTTCAGCAGGAAAATGGTTCCCATCTTAACACACGGAGAAACAGGCAGTCACATCAGAACCAGTGTCTTCTTCATATTAAAAGCAAGAATGCCTTCCCTGTGTGTGTGTTGCTACAGACTGAATTTAGGGCCTCTCTCATGTTACAGCTGAAGCTGTCCCCAGCCCCACACTGGGGGATTCTAGGCAAGCGCTCTACCCTGAGCCACACCCCAACCCCTCACTGGGGGATTCTAGGCAGGGGCTCTACCACTGAGCCAAACCCCAGCCCCTCACTGGGGGATTCTAGGCAGGGGCTCTACCCTGAGCCATACCCCAGCCCCTCACTGGGGGATTCTAGGCAGGGGCTCTACCCTGAGCCACACCCCAGCCCCTCATTGGGGGATTCTAGGCAGGGGCTCTACCCTGAGCCACAACTTCCACCACCTTTTCATTCTGAGACAGCATCTCACGAAGTTGTCCAGGATGGCTTTCAATTTTCTCTGTAGATCAGGTGCTGTGGAATAGTCCTTCTGTCTACTGTGTCACTATGATTGGTTTAAAAAACAAGCTAACTGGCCAATAGCTGAACAGGATAGAGTTAGGTGGGAAAGCCAAACTGAGAAAGATGGGATGAGGAAGGGTGGAGTCAGGAGATGCCAGCTAGTTGCCAAAGAAGCAGGAAGTGTAGAAAATGAGATAAGAAGGTATGAGCCACATAGCAAAACACAGATGAGAAATATGGGTTAATTTAGTTTAAGAGTTAGCTAGTAACAAGCCTGAGCTATCAATCGAGTATTTATAATTAATATTAAGCCTCTGTATAGGTTATTTGGGAAGCTACTAGTGGCTTGGGAAAACTCTGTCAACAACCGGGCAACTCTGTTTTTTGTTGTTGTTGTTGTTTTAATGTGTAAGAGTTTTTGTCTGCATGCGTGTATGTGTATAGTATGCATGCAGTGCCCATAGAAGCCAGAAGAGGGCATCAAACCCTCTGGAGTTGAAGCTACGGATGTCTGTAAGCTGCCAGCTGCCAAGAGGGTGCTGGGAAGGAAACCCAGGTCCTCTGCCAGAGCAGCCAGTGTGGCTGAGTCATCTCCAACCATTTCGTTTTGGTTTTTATACGAGACCAAGGAATATCCTCCTGCCTCTGTGTGTACACATGAGCTTGCATACCTGCATCCACGTGTATATGCAACATAAGCACACACACACACACACAAAACATGGATCTGCATGCTCTGTGATCTGAAAAATATAGTGATCTCCAGGGACTTTGCCTGATCAATTTTAAGACATGGATGTTCAAATGACGATGTAAGCCAGGCACAAGTTTCTGTCCAATGGGCTGTACTTCAGACCACTTCCTGTCACCTTACTGACACAAGGAAACATGATGTTTGCTCTTCCCGGACCCCTTAAGGCCACTTTCTGACTGGGTGCTTTTTCCCCACAGCTGACCCCAGTGGTGGCAGTGATTTCAGTTACTGTAACAAAATACCTGAGGTGACCTCTGAGAGAGAGGGGGGGGGTCGCTCTTTGGCTTGTGGTCCCCCAGGTTTCAGTTGCGGTGAGACACACCATGGTGGAAGCAGAGTGGAGCAAATCTCCCTCCTCGTGGCCACAGAGAAGCATATGAAAGACTGGCATTCCTTGGCCCCCTCAAAGACCATGCTCCCCATGGCCTCCTATTAGGACTGACATCTCAGAGATGTCCACCTTCCAACGGCACCAGATCAATGATCAAGCTTCCAACACTTGGGCCTTTGGGCCATTTAAGGTTCCATGTGGTGGAATGTTATTTTAACTAGGCAAAGATGTGTTACATTTGTTTATGCTGTGGAATATTACTTTAATTATGTGAAGGTGTGTTTATATTTGTTCATGCTGCATTTGTTTAATGATGTAAGATGTGTGCTAATTATGTAAAGATGGGTTGCATTTGTTGCATCTTGCCTGCCCAAGGCACCTGATTGTGCTAATAAAAATCTGAATGGCCAATAGCTAGGCAGGAGAGGGATAGGCAGGGCTGGTGGGCAGAGAGAATAAGTAGAAACAGAAATCTAGGTTCGAGAGAGAAGAGAGAAAAGAAAGAGAGGGACACACCCTGGGCCAGAAGCCAGGCAGCGGCCAGCCAACCAGCTACGAGAAGCAGTAAAAGAAAGATACACAGAAGGAAAGAACGGTAAAATGGTTAGGTGGTGGGGGTGGCGCACGCCTTTAATCCCAGCACTTGGGAGGCAGAGGCAGGCGATCTCTGAGTTTGAGGCCAGCCTGGTCTACAGAGCAAGTTCCAGGACTGGCTCCAAAACTGTACAGAGAAATCCTGTCTTGGAAAAAAAAAAAAAAAAAAAAAAAAAAAAAAAAAAAAAAAAAAAAAAAAAAAAAAAAAAANAAAAAAAAAAAAAAAAAAAAAAGTAAGGTAAAAAGCCCTGAGGCAAAAACTTAGATGCTAGCAAGAAATAAGAGCTTAGCTAAGGCCAAGCGTTCATAACTACTAAGTCTCCGCGGCTTGATTTGGGAGCTGGTTAGTGGCCCCAAAGAAAAAGCTTCATACAGTTCAAACTACAGCACTGTGGTGACTATTGCTTTACTAGTTCTGGTCCCTGAGGGCGACACTTAAAAATCCAGGCTCGTTGGGAGGGAAGAGCAGAGGTCTGGGATCCAACCCTATCCCTGTCTGTCTTGCTGGGTCTCCTTGGACTACAGGGGGGATAGGGCCACAGACAGGAATGCGGGCAGCCACTAGAAGCCAGCAGCAGCCAGCAGCAGCCTTAGTGATGGTGGATGCCCTTAATCCCAGCACTGGGGGGGCAGAAGTTATCTGTGAGTTCATGACGAGCCTGGTCTAAAGAGTGAGTTCCAGGCCACCCAGGGCTACACAGAGAGTTGTCTCAAAGTCAGGCCCCCAAACAACAAAGCAAACAAACAATAATTCTCTGAAATCATCGAGAGTGATTATGACGGGGGGGGGGGGGGGGGGGGGGGGGGGGGGGGGGGGCTTGACTTGTACCCAGTAGGTATCAGTTTTGAACTTCTGACCTCTAGTGTTGAGAGTGGAGCCTTAAAATGAGAAGAGATCAAGGCAAGAATCATACTTTATTTTTATTTTCTGTGACCGTGTGTGTGCCCGAGGACACTTGCGAGCGTGCTGCGGGGTGTGCGTGTGGAGGTCAGAGGACAGTTTGCAGGAGTTGGCTCTTTCCTGCCACTGCATGGGTTCTGCAGATCAAGTTCGGGTCACGAGGCTTGGCAGCACACGCCATCACCTGCTGGGCCATCTCACCAGCCTTTTCTTGTCGACATGAGTGACTCCTTCAAGTTACCCAGAATGGTGACCGCGGTGAACGCTGGGATCTTATGCACACGGCGTCTGCTTGCTTAGAAATGATCCAGTCTCGTGTAGCCCAGGTTAGCCTTGAAGTCCCTATTCTTCTGCTTCTACTTCCTGTGTACATGCCTCAGTGTGTGTGTGAGAGAGTGCGTGTGAGCGCATGCGCCATCAGAGCCCAAAGGTGATGACATATCTTCCTTGATCCACTTTACTTACTAAGTCAGGGTCTTGAACTGTCCAGTCAGCCAATTTGCCTTGGGGGGGGGGGTCCTGTCTTTGCTTCTCCCGTACTGGGATTACAGCAAGCGGTCACACTTGCCTGACTTTGATGAGTTCCGAGACTCTAAATCCAGTCCTCACCACCTGCTCGTGTGGCAAGTGGATTGATCACTCAGCCCACACCTTCTACAGGGTCTCTCATGGGCTTGAAGCTGACAGAACAGAATACGTTGGCTGGCCAGCAGTGCCCAGGATCTGTGTCTCTGGCTCCCCAGTACATGCTACAATGCCCAGCATCTTTACACTCGGTTAGGGGATTGAACTTGGGTCCTCATGCTTGCAAGTCAAGTGCTCTACCAACTGAGCCATCTCCCTAACCCCTTGTATTTCTTTAAAAAGACACTTTGTATTGTTGATTTTTTTCTTTTTCTAGAAATGGAACTGAAGGTCTCCTACATGCTAAACAGTGATCCATTTCTAACCAGGCACCCCCAGTTCCTCGCTGGGGGATACAAGCACATGTCCTACTGTGAAGCCACACAACTGGCCCAGTCCTTTGCTGAGCCCCTCCCTTAAAAAAAGACTTATTTGTGTATATTTGTGTTTGTGTGGTGTTCTGAAAGAGATGTCCCTCATAGCCTTGGGCATTTGAATACTTGCCTCCTAGTTGGTGGAACTGTTTGGGAATTCTAGGGGGTGTGGCCTTGCTTGAGGAACTACGTCTCTAGAGGTGGGTTTGGGGGCCCACTCACTGTCTGCTCTCTGATGTATGTCTATAGTTCGATATGAGCCTCCGTTTCCTGTTCCTGCTGCCACGCCTCCCTGTCCTGACGGACTACTATCTCTCTGGAACCTGAAGGCCACATAAACTCTTCTTAGAATTGCCCTGGTCATGGTGTGTTATCACAGCGGTGGAAAAGTAGCTAACACAGTCTGTGTGAGTGTGTGTGTGTGAGAGAGTGTATGCTCTGTGTGTGTGTGTGTGTGTGTGTGTGCCCGTGGGGACCAGAAAAAGGCTGGATCTCCTGGAGCTAGAGTTATAGGCATAGCTGCCCAATGTGGGATCCAAACTCAGGTCCTCAGCACTAGCAACAAGTGCTCCTAACCACCAACCCGTCTTTCCAGCCCATTCCTTTTTAAAGTTCTATATAGTGCGATTGTGTTGTGTGTGTGTGTGGGGGGGGGGCGGGTTGAATGGGGCGGAGCTCTCCTTCCACCTTTAAGTGGGATCTGGGGATTGAACTCAGGTTGTAAGGCTTGGCGGCAAGCGCGCTCATCCACTGAGCCATCTCACTGGTCCCTGCTGTTGATTCCCTTATAGCACACAGCACTGCTGTCAAGTCCGGAAGCAGCAGCTCTCGCTGGGTTCTCTGTAAGAAACACCGCATCCTTTTTGCTCTCAGGGACATCAGAGATCACATCATCTCTCCGCTCCCGGCCATTTCATTCCCTTAACCACCAAAAACAGCTCGACCTGAAAACAGCACCAAGAAGGTTGCTGGAAGGATGTGTTTATGGTGTGACAGCTGAGACAGAGAGGCGGGGCAGCTTCTTGTTTCTGGAGAGGGGTTGCAATAAGGGCTTCATCTGTAGCCCAGGCTGGCCTTGAATTCTCAGCCCTCTTACCTCAGCCTCCCACGAGCTGGGATCACAGGCCTGTGCCCCATGCCTGACTCTTACTGGCACCTTCTAGCAGATAAGGAACGCGTCTATAGCCACAGGGGGAAGGGCGTGTCAGCAGCTGGGTGGGGTGTCAGCATCGTCGGGGGCGGGGGCTCAGGGCACTAAGTGATGATGAGCGTCTCCTCGCGGTCTCTGCTCTCCGACATGGAGTTGATGATGCTTTTTAAATACTTGATGAATTCCACTCGGACCTCCTCGGGGTCTTCCTCCAGGTTTGAGTGCACCAGCTTCAGCTTGTTCAAGGGGGGAGCTCCACAGGGCAAACGAGACTAATTAATTAGGCTTCAAGGTTGAACAAGCTCTTTCTAGTACATAACAACCCAGGCTACTGGAGTACCACTTTCTTCCACCCTCCCTCCCTCCCTCCCCGCGAGGTCCTGCAGTGTACCTAGGCATGCTCAGTCTTGCCAGTGCTGAGATTTCACGCATCTGCTAGCACACCTGTGACATGCTGAACTCTTACAAACTTTAACCTGCTTGACACACACGGCTTTAAACCCAGCACTCGGGAGGCAGAGGCAGAGGCAGACGGATTTCTGTGAGCTGGCGGCCAGCCTGGTCTACAAAGTGAGTTCCAGGACAGCCAGGGCTACCAGAGAAACCCTGTCTCAAAAATCAAACCAAACCTAACAAAAAGTTGAAACTGCCCCTTGGCAATAGGAAAGATACCCAAGTAGATACTGGCAGTTCTTGTTTTTGTCTTTTCTATGGTGCTTCAGAAGGAACCAGGAGCCTTGTGCATATCAGACAGGTGCTCTTTAACAGAGCTGTTCCCTAATACATTACTGGGGGATTCTAGGCAGGGGCTCTACCACTGAGCCACACCCCAGCCCCTCACTGGGGATTTGAGGCAAGCACTTTATGGCTAATGCATGCCTCTATGAAGACCTGGTATGTATGAGGTACATATGCATACATAGACAGACACAAACCATAAGTAAGGACAAAAAAATAAAATAAAATAAATAAAGACCTAAGGTGAATGGCTTTCCTGAGAATGAGACTTAGGTTGATCTATGATTTCCAAATAAACATAGAACTATGCTTTTGTGCACTTGTGCATGGGAGTACGTGTGCGCACACACACAGACACACACAGACAGAAATGCTTGAAACAGTGGAGACAAAAGCAAGGAAAGAAGTCTAGGGTGCTTACACAAAGCCAGGCTGCCCTTGTCACCTCCAGAGCCTGGTTTGTGGTGGGCCACGAGCATGCAGTGACTGTCTTGGAGGAACTGCTGCTGGACAAAGCAAGAATACCACATTTCGATTTCCTTTAGGTGGCTTGGGATATCAGCATTAAAGACAATCACCACTCCATGGGCATCCTTCATAAGGGCTGGCCAGCAGGACTCAAACCTGCCAAGAGGGAAGGAAGTCAAGAGGCAATAGTAGGACATCTTCGCTTCTCAATGTGGTTGTTGTTGTTGTTGTTGTTATTGCTGCACTTGGGGCTTTACACGTGTGCAACTGCTCTACCACTGAGCCACACCCAGCCCCTCACTGGGGGATTCTAGGCAGGGGCTCTACCACTGAGCACCCAACCCTGACTCTACTTTTTGTCAGTCAGCTGTTGAAGCAGAGCTATGTTAAAGAAAACCTACTTTGAGTCGCCACCGCAGTCCCAGAGCTCAAATTCACAGCCCGTGCCTTTGTTGTTGCTGGTGACATGTGGGTTCTCAAACTCTAGGATCCTGAAGGTAAAAGAGAGCAGCAGGGCCTTCCTTAGGGAGCCGTGTTGGAACACGCACAGCTCCTGAGGTAGGGGATGCACGTGCTCCACAAGTGCTCTAGATACAGAGACTGGACAGGCTCACCTCACACCTTGGGTTGGGTTGTATTCAGTGATGTCTGAAGATTCAGTCAGAAAGTTGGCCAACACTGTTTTGCCACTCTGTGAAATAAGAGCAAACGGAGCCGAGAAATAAACCACACAGGAGCCCTCACCCGCCATGTACAGTGGCACACCCCCGTAACCCCAGCACTCAGGTGGCTGAGGCAGCAAGAGTGCCAGTACCAGGCTAGCCTGGGCTACATAGGGAGACGCTGAGGCCAGCCTGGGAATAGGTGTGGTGAAGTACTGGCCAAGACTCCTTGAGATCTCTAGGACAGAGAGCTCGCTGTTGGGAAGAATGCTGCCCTGCCCTAGCACAGTGGACAGAGCTTGGACTGGGACCAAGCAAGCCTTTCTGACAGTCTTGCTGTTAAGATATGTTAAAGAAAACCTACTTAAGAGTAGGTTAATTTACCTGAGAACAGAAAACCAGAAACAAACAACCACCACACAAACCCTGTTAAGTGTGTGTCCCGCCACCCTCCCAAGCCTCTCTCCACAGCTTTAGCCAATCAGTCTATGAGGTCACAAGGTCAGCAGTCTACTTCTTCTCATGTGTTACATAAGTAATCAACATTCCTATAAAAAGTCAACAGGACTGTAAGACAGCCTTCCTGAGCCCTCTACTCAAGGCAGGTTTCCACCCACCCTTCCGTCCATCCATTCAACCACCCACTAACTTCCTCCACCCACTCTCGCCAACGATCCACTCACCCTCTCGTCCATCCATGTACTCAGCTACTCACTCACCCCATCATCCACCCATCCACCCATCACCCACCCATCCACCCTTCTACTAACCCTCTCCCCCACCCACCCGTTCCCTCCTCAGAGCCATGGTCTGCTTTTCAGATCTTCTTTGCGTATTTGCACCGCCCACTGAACAAATACTGCAGAGGCCTCAATATAAAACAAATAAAATTATTCCTCAGAAGCCAGTGGCTTAAATCTGAGCGAGCCCTTGCAAACCTCCACAGGACAGGAGAAAGGAATGAAGAGGAAGACAAAAGGGAAGGAAGGGGAGAGAAGGGTTGGAGAGGTGGTGAGAAGAGGCAGGAGGATTAGCAGGTCAGGTTCATTCTAGGCTCCTGAGATCTTGTTTCAACCAACAAACAAGCAAACCCAAAAGCCATGATAAGAAAAACAGAGACAAGCACAAAGCCCAAAAAAACCTCTCTGCACTTAAACTCTGTTCTCTAAACCACTTGCTTTGAGGTAAGGACTTGTCATGTAGCCCAAGCTGGGGACCAACGGTCAATCTTCCTGCCTCGGCCTTCAAAATGATGAAATTACCACTGTCTATCGCCAAACCTAGATCTGTAACAAATCTTGCAAACTTTTTCCAAACTACAACTGTGCTCTCTTTTAAATTTAACATACACACACACACACACACACACACACAGGGTTTTACTATGTAGCCCTGGCTGGCCTAGAACACTATATCAATCAGGCTGGCCCCCAACTCAGACTCACCTGTCTCTGCCTTCTCAGTGCTGGAATTAGACATGTACCATTATGTCCAGTCTGTGCATGTTGAGTGCCTGAGCTGTCACATCTCCTGGAACTGGAAGTTATGGGCAGTTGTGAGTTAGCTGGCACAGGGAGCTTGTTGTGGAATATTAGCTTAAGATGCGTTACATTTATTTAAGCTGTGGAATGTTTGTTTAACAATCCAAAGGTGTGTTGCATTCTTTTATGTTGTGTTTGTTTAATTCTGTGAATCTGTGTTACTTTAGCTGCCTAAAACACCCGATTGGTCTAATAAAGAGCCAAATGGCCAATAGCTAGGCAGGAGAGGGATGGGGGAATGGTGGGTGGGCAGAGAAAATAAATAGGAGAAATCTAGGCTAGAAATGGATGCAAAAAGGGAGAGGAGTGAGAAAAGGTGGTGAGGAGGACTCCAGGGGCCAGCCACACAGCCGGCCACAGAGCGGGAAAGAGAGGTAAAAAGCCCAGCGGCAAAAGGTAGAAGAAGAGAAACAGGATGATGTAATTAGAAGAACAAGGCAAGCTAAGGCCGGGCAGTCTCCGTTTGCTTATTAGGGAGCTGGTGGTGGCCCCCAAAGAGTAAACAAACAAGCAAACAAACAGCTACAGTGCTGGGGACCAAACGAAGAGCTCTCTGCGATCTTAACCCCAAACTTCTTTCCAGTCCTGGCTGTCGTTTCCGCTGAGCCGCCTTCTCCTCCTCTCCGCCCCAAGCTAGCCTCAACAACCCTAGGTAGCCCAGACTGCGTCGGAGTTGTGGCAATCCTCCTGTCTTAGTCTCCTGCGTGCTGAGGTCTGCATCACAATGCACAGTCCAGTCCTTCCTAGATTTTGTGTGTGCTGAACTCTCCCCTCACCCGGGATTAGAATTTTTTTCTTTGACAGGTTTTATGTATCCCAGGTTGGCCTCAGGCTTGTTATCGTAGCTGAGTGTGATCTCAAGCTCCCGATGGTGCTGCCTCCACCTTCCAAATACTGGAATCGAGGCGTGTGCCACCATCAAAGTTTTATGTGGTGCTGAGGATTGAACCCAGGGATTCCCGTATGCCAGGCAAACATTCTATCACCCAGTCACATTCCAGCCTCCTAATTTAAGATGAAGACCTCATCTTTGCCATATATTCACCTATGAATGCACAATGGTTCTCAGAGGTTCCACAGACCAGTGTACAAAATCTGAATTACTACAGTCTTCCCAGAACTACTCAGGAACAATAACTAGGCTATTCAGGGCATGGTGACACAGGCCTATAGTCCCAGTACTTGGGAAGCTGAAGCAGGGGGTCTTGAGTTCAAGGCCAGCCTGAACTACATTGTCACCAAATAACAAAACATAAGATAACTTTCTGAGCTGGTACTCAGAGATTTGAGCTTTAATAAACCAGCTAGGTGATTTACATATTCACATATTCATCTTCTATTCTCTCTCTCTCTCTCTCTCTCTCTCTCTCTCTCTCTCTCTCTCACACACACACACACACACACACACATTTTGTTACTTTGAGACAGTATCTCACATTGCAGCCCAGAATGTCCCAGAACTCAACACGTAGCCCAGGCTGTCCTTGAACTGGTGATGATCCTCCTCCCTTTGCCTCCTGAGTCTTGGTATTACAGGTATGTGCCAATACACCTCGCTTCTTCTACAGTGAACTCATTTGCATGTTTGGTTTTGGCCCACCCGAGCTTTAATTTGGTGTATAGTATGCATCACCTATGTAGTAATTCCCTCATAATTAATAAACACTTGCTCCAGGACCCTATATTGAAAAATCTAGTTTTCTCAGCCCGTTGACAGATTCCTTTTGCGGGGAAGGTTCGAAGGGGGAGTCATGAGATGCCCCTCACTCCCGTTGGCCTTCAGACCTGGGTACCTCAAGATTCTCCTCCACTACTACGGTGGGGTGAACTGGATCAAGGCCTGGCAGCTCCGCAGGTCCCGTAAGGCCAGCTGCAGCCCCCAGTGGGGACGCTGGTCCCAGCTGCACCTCCTGGAAAGAACCCCAGTTCTAGGAGTTTCCCGAACCCGGCCGATCTCACCTCGCAGGGCCCCACGAAGAGAATCTTGGCTTTCAGCATCGCTCTCCGTTATCGAGAACCGGCGGAAGCCCACCGCCAAAGCACGCTGGATCCCGCCGCGTCAGCCAGAAGGGCCTCACGCTCCGATTGGCTGATCGGTTTCCTCGGCGACCGGGGACAGCTGCGCAGAAACCCAGGAAACTCGGCCAGTTCCGGGGTCTGAAACAGTGGGTCTGCTATGGAAGCCGAGGAGGACCAAAAGAGAAAAGCAAAGCTGGGTCGGCTGACTGCATTCTGGGCACTGGAAGGGATTCCGGAATGATCACGCTCTAATCTGCTTTATTTCTCCCGGTCACCGTGAACGTTCCAGGGAGTCGGGGAGCTGCTAAGCTGGACTGGAAGCCAGAACTGTGATTTTTTTTCTTTCATTCCTCATACTGAGGGTTGAAACCCGGGGTCTCATTCATAGGTGTTAGCCTGCGCTGCACCTCAGTCCAGCTCGTGCCGATTTTAAAAGGTGGTTGTTCTTTTCCGTGGGTGCTGGAGAGTGAACTCAGGTGTTCATGAAGTCTCGGCGAACACTCTGCTACTGAACCACACCCCCAGTCCAACTCTCTCTGTAGACCAGGCTGGTCGAGCTCACAGAGATCACTTGCTTTGCCTCTGCCTCTCAAGTGCCAGCATTAAAGGCGTGAGCCACCACTCTCGACCTCCAACTTTTTTTTTTAAATATTTATTTATTTATTTATTTATTCATTTATTTATTATGTATACAATATTCTGTCTGTGTGTATGTCTGCAGGCCAGGAGAGGGCACCAGACCTCATTCCAGATGGTTGTGAGCCACCATGTGGTTGCTGGGAACTGAACTCAGGACCTTTGGAAGTGCTCTTAACCACTGAGCCATCGCTCCAGCCCCCCTCCAACTCTTTTTTTTTAATTTAAAAAGTTATATTTCCTTCTTCGCGTGTGCGCGTGCGTTATCTCTCACACCTACCACGACACACGTGAAGCTCAGAGGCCCACCCATGGGAGTAAGTTCTCTCCTCCCACCACACACGTTTAGGATGAAGTTCTGGTCTTCAGGTCAGATGGCAGGGCCTGTGTCTGCTGAACCACTTGCCAGCCCGCCATTGTTTATCTCGATGCTGAGATTGTTCTTGGCCATCTGGAGCTTCTCCAGCGCGCTGAGGTGAGCTGCCCAAACTGGGTGCTGGGAACCTAACTCAGGCTCTCTACAAGAGCAGCAAGTGCTTTTAACCACTGAGCCATCTCTCCAGCCCCCTCTTTCATACTTTTTGGCACCGTTATATTAGTCCCAGGTGGCTCATTTTATTCTTTTTGCTTCGTTGCGGCCATATATTACACACATTCTTTTGCATGCATTAAAAAAAATTAAAAGTTTCAAAAGACCAGGGACCCTCAGAAAAGTTATTTATTCCTTTATACAACGTGGAAAAATTGAAGGGAACTTTATGCTCCCGACTCCAACTTTTGGCATGAAACACTTAAGTCATTGGCCTGGGCTTTAGGAGAAATTGGTGCCAGGCCATTGGGCAAGGCTGGGTTCAGAGATGGAACTCCTTAGCTCCTCTCCCATCTTGAGCTTTCTTTTCGGATGAGAGACAAACTGTAGAGTGCATTTCCCCTTGCCAAGTAGATTCCCGTAGAATCGCTCATGCACTGTGTGCGTGTGTGTTGTGTGTGTGTGTGTGTGTGTGTAAGCACGGAGCACACACGGGCTTGTCTCTCTGTCTTCCAGTGGAGCACAGAGGTTGGCTTTGTGTAACCTTATCACTCTCCGCCTTCCTAGGTTGGCAGCTCCCTGGGATCCCACGGCCTCTTTCCCCTCCACTAGGCTTTTATGTGGATGCCAGGGATTAGAACTCAGATCCTCCCGCTTGCGTGGCAATCTCCGCAGTCCCTAGAGGCTTGTTTTTATTGGCCTAAACTAATCCCCAAAGTCAAGGTGTGTGGTTTAATTTAAGGAACCTCCCGGTTGCTCAGGTTTGGAATGTTTGCTCTGCAGGTGGTGGTGCTGTTTTATGAGGTTCTGCAAACACTAGGGGACAGAGCCTAGCTGAAGCAGAGAGGTCACAGGGGCAGGCCCTGCAGGGTATATTATACCAGGCTACACTCCTGTCTTGCTTTCTGCTTCCTGGCCACTGTGTGTGGACTGAATTGCCACTGTGACAGACTGAACTCTTTGAAACAAAACTCTTTCCCCCTTTAAGTTGTGTAGTCTGGGCACTATAATATGACATAAATGTAACTAACTAACCAACTAACAATTGTGACTAAATTGGTAGCAGTAAGGAAGACAGAACAACAGGCCACCTTTCCTCTCTCTCTTCTCTGTGTGTACATGAATGTGTATGCACATGCTTGTGTGTGTCCATGAAGGTACATATACATGTGTGTTTGTGCACATGCATGTATACAGTGTACAGAGCCAGGGGGTACATATCTGGTGTTTCCTATAACTTTCCACCTTTTGTTTGGTTTTGAGACAGGGTTTCTTTTTTTTTAATTTTATTGATTTTTATTGAGCCCTACATTTTTCTCTGCTCCCCTCCCTGCCTCTCCCCTCCCCTTCAATCTTCTCCCAAGGTCCCCATGCTCCCAATTTACTCAGGAGATCTGAGACAGGGATTCTTTGTGTAGCCTTAGCTGTCCTGGATCATGTTGGTCTCGAACTCACAGAAATCTACCTGCCTCTGTCTCCACAGGTTGGGATTGAAGGTGTGTGCCACCACCGCCTGGCACTCTCCACCATTTTTAAAAAAGATCTTTTGACGTTTATTTTATGTGTATGATGGATGTCTTGCCTGCATGCATGTCTGTGCACTGTTTGCATGCGGTACCTGAGGAGGCAGGAAAGGCATCCATCCCCTTGGAGTTGACTGTTGACTGGTGGGAGCTGCCATGCAGGTGCTGGGAATCAAATCCCAGTTAAGAGCCAGTGTTCTTACCCTTGAGTCAACCCTCCAGTCCCTTCCCTTTAAGTTTTGAGACAGAATCTCTCACTGAACATGGATCTCACCAGGTCAGCTGATCAGCAAGCTCCAGGTGTCTCCTTGTGCCGCCTCCCCAGGCCTGAGACAATGGATGCTTGCCCTATGCTTTTGCATGGCTTCTAGGAGCAAACTCAAGTTCTCACGTTTGTGTGATATGCACTTACTCACTGAGCCACATCCCAATCTTCCCATCCCCCCCCCCCTTTATGTGCAAAGGTGCCCTGTTTCCTTTGTGTGTGGAAATGGCTTGCCTCTTTTCTGCACCAGGCTTGGTCCACAGCCCAGCCTGGGAAGAAGTTGCTGTCTTCCATCCTTTAACATTCTAGAAAAAGCCAAGCACGATGTGCAAGCCTGGGCAATCCTGGCACTAAGGGGTAGAGGCAGGAGGATCGGGAGTTCAAGGTCAACCTAGGCTGCACAAGCCTCATTAATAGGTTTTCTGTAACTTGATAATAGGTTTCTTTGCTGATGCAGTAAGCCAGATCAAGCCAAATTGAGAAAAGCAAAAGAACAGGTTTATTTGAGTAAAGCAACTCCTGGGTGAGTCCTCCAGCCCCAGAGATCAGGCTGGAGAAGTCACACACCTGAACTAAAGCAGGAAGCTTATGTAGGCGAGGGGTTGATGGCACAAGCTGGGTTTGTGCCCAAGTATGGTCAAACACTGACAGATTTAGGCGGGGTCTTGCGTTGCTGGCAGCTTCAGGGGAGGAGCTGCCACCACTGCCAAGAATGCAGAACTGGACATCTTGGTGCCTCTTCTTTGTTGGAGATTCTCTGAGAGGACAGGATTTGCAGAGAGAGAGAGAGAGAGAGAGAGAGAGAGAGAGAGAGAGAGAGAGAGAAATGGGAATTTCTGGTTCCGGCTGAACACTCAACTCAAACAACACCTCCCTCCCACCAAACAAACAAGGGGCTGTGGGGATGGCTCAGAGTGAAAATTTTGTCACACATGCAGGAGAACCTGAGTTTGAATCCTTAGCACTCACGTAAAATGTCAGGGGTGACAGCAAGCACCCCTGTAATCCCACTGCTTGGGAGGCAGAGGGAGCCAATCCCCGGAGCTAATGGCCATCCATCTTGCTGAAGCAGTGAGCTCCAGGTTCACCAAGAGAGGCTGCCTCAACAAATAAGGCAGAGGAGCTGGAGAGATGGCTCAGCAGCTAAGAGTGCTTTGCTGCTCCTGCAAGACGACCAGAGTTTGGTTCCGAATGCCTGCTTAGGGTGTCTCCCAACTGCTTATAATTCCAGTTTCAGAGGATTCAACCCTCTCTTCTGTCCTGCTTAGGTACCTGCACCCATGTGCATGTGCGTGTGCGTGTGCGTGTGCGCGTGTGTGTGTGTGTGTGTGTGTGTGTGTGTGTGTGTGAACATTGCCTTAGTCTGCTTTCTATCGCTGAGATAAAACCTGGGTCTAAACTAAGGTGGGGTAGGAAAAGGGTTTATCTAAACTGTTCTATTGATAAAAACTCCGGAGTCAGGTATTGGGGTAAAAACCTGATAGATCAAAAAAGCAGGGATCCAGGGGGCTAGGGAAATGGCTCAGTGGTTAAGAGCATTGCCTGCTCTTCCAAAGGTCCTGAGTTCAATTCCCGGCAACCACATGGTGGCTCACAACCATCTGTAATGATCTCTGGTGCCCTCTTCACAGAATATTGTATACATAATAAATAAATTTTTAAAAAGGAAATTAAAAAAAAAGCAGGGGTCTGGAGAGATAGTTCAGTGCTGAAGAGCACTGGCTGCTCTTCCAGAGGACCTGACCTCAATGCCCAGCATCCACATGGTGGCTCACAACCATCTCTAATGGGACCTGATGCCCTCTCCTGGGGCCTGCAGGTATGCACGCCCAGCACTCATACATGAAATAAAAATAAATAAATAATAAGAAAGAGGGGAAGAATGACCAACCGACACTCTCTCCACATTTTCAAGACTGAAAAAGCCCTTGAATCTTTCTAAGGCCCTTCCTGTGCCTCTCCACTGCATCTTGGGTCCTCCAAGATGTCTGTGACTAACTCCGGTCAGCTTCGTCGCCGACTCTGCCCCCGATTCAAGGTTCACTTTATCAACAGTCTTGGAGCGTGGTAGTGCAACGGGTCTGAAGCCACGGCAGGAACTTGAAGCCAGGAACAGAGACAGA